CAGGGCTGGAAGGGAGGGAGTTGGTGGCTGGCGGTCTGTGAGGATGGAGGAGACAGCCTAGGGAGAGGAGCTGGAGTTTAGGGGCCCAGTCTCCCCCCAACTCAAGGGGGCCTGAGGCATCCTAGCCCAGTTCTGTGACCAGACTACATCTGTGCTGTGCTGTATCCTGGAGAGGCAATAAACTTCCTCTATTCCACTGGCTGGTGCAGTCTGTTTGTGCCATTTCGGGGTGCAGGAGACGGGGAACCCCCAATGCGCCGTCACAGCCGCAAAGGAGGAAAACACAAAATCCCAAAGTGAATTAAACTGTCTCGCCCCGCTTCTGTCTCTCATTAGTTTCCGGTGTCTGTTCTTTCGTATAAACAAAGCAGAATTCTGGGACCTGAGACTCCAGTTATTCTGCGCCCTTCCCTGTTCCAACCCTCCTCCCCCAACACTTTTGCCTGATACGTCCCAAACTCAACCGTTATTGATTATTGATGTCTGCTTATTGGTTATTTATTATTAACTGGAGGCAGAGGTAGGTAGCTAGGTAGGCGGTTAGCTTTCCCCATTGCCTTATTAAGGGGAAGTCTTGGCTCTCAGATCCCCTAAAAATCTTAGCAAATCTCAGCCTGATATTCCCAAGGTCTAGGGGTTCCGGTTTTGGAGGGGTTTTGGCCGCTGTTCTTTTCTTCCCACGCTGGCAGGAGAGTTTTTGACACTTTAAACGGGCTCCGAGCGCTTTCATTGCATTCACTGGAGGTGGGTCATGTTGAGTGGGCGGAGCAGGGGTGTAACCTGGAAACCCCTGGGCTGACAACACCGTTCTGAAGGTGACCTGAATAAATAAGGATTTTAAACCAGGATTCCAGTTTCGTGCTCAAATGTGACACTTTCCTGCCCCGTGTGGCTCTGTCCCATTGGTGAGCTTGGGGACTATTGCGATCGCTTAGTCCTTACGGTTCATGTAGTTTGGCCGCTGTTTTGCTCCCAGTGAGGCATCGGGGGCAGGAGGTTTGTTTATTTCTGGTTTGAAGGCAGTTTCCAGGATTGTCCCTGCACCGCACAAACCGCATCTTTCTTCCCGGTCAGAGTGGGGGGGAGGGGGCGGCGTATTGAGGACACGAAAGAGTTAATACGTGACGTCAGAGCGTTTCATCCTGGCGGGCCCCGGCAGGGCTGTTTGGCGCGTGTCTCTGCTGCCCCCGTGCGGCAGACGCGGGAAGTTCCGCAGCTCTGGTTTGTGTACGAGCAGCCGCAGGGGTCGTGTCACTGTGTGTCTGGCACAGGAATAGCGGGCGGGGGCCCC